CAGAACAAGGGATTGCAAGGCGGACCAAGCTAAACACGCTCATTGCTGCCAATCGAGTTAATAAAAACCGAAGTCAAGACAAGATACAATTTTTTTGGCACACGTTTTGTGATTTGGTGCATAATAGTGTAAGGTACTGGCTGTGGCACAGTTTCCGCAACATAGCGCACGACCTCGCAGACAAATGCATCTGGCGCAAAATGGAGCAAATGGCGCAGTTGTTCCACCCCTGCATATGGCAAGATTTATAACTCCCATTCGTTAGGTATAGCTGGACATCTCTATAGGTTTGCTTTTATGTAAAATCAGTCATTTCTTTGGGGCCCCAATTCAGGCACATTTGAATTTCTGAAGTTACGGTCATAAATATACAATCGTAAAGTTCCGAGAGAACGCTTCTCCCCGAGAGATCGCCCATCCAGTTTATTGAGATGCATATCCATACCATATAAAAATTCGGAAACATCCCCTCGATTATTGCGAGATATAGATTACGCGATATCACACTATATCAGACTATCTATGATATTGGCACGAGTCAAAAATGTGTTTGCCGCGGGTTCCCTCGCTTTTATCGCACCGTGAAATGCGAATCTCTTGCGTTTGCAGTCTGTGGTGTTTGTTCTCATGACGCGAGAGTTCGCAGAGGGTTCCCACACTTTTGTCCGTCTGCCATGCAAGAACATGGTTTTGTTTCACAGCATGACAGCATGGCTGATACCCGGCACGCTAACGTCGGAGCATCCGCATACACCCACACCTACCATTGAAACAAAAAAGACTTGAAAAGAGAATTACAAGACGCCAAGAGTGCGAGTTGTGAGACAGCGGGAAAACAATGCAAGGCCGGATGGACAATTGATGCAGGGTACTTTCTGTTGGGCGGCCGCTTGCGCCACATAATACACACACGCTCAATTACGGTACCCAGTTTAGATTCGGTTTTGAAAGACGACCGAAATTAGTTTTTTGGCGCAGGCTTGGCACAAATTATCCATATTTTGGCAAAATGTAGCAGGACGTATCAGGGTTAGCCCCTTGGCACAATTTGGCGCAATTGGCACCGCAATCACATAACTGAACTTCTCTTGAAAGTATGGACTGATACCATGACATATGGTATATTTAACTTTGTCTTTTCCAAGCTGCATTTTTCTGGCGGTCTCGCACGTGGGGAACATCAACAGAAACAGCGAGGCAGACGCTGCCACTGAACAGAAATATCCACGAGTCATTATAGTGTTCAAGCACCACATGATCTCGGCCTTTGTGACTTCATTCTTCAATAAAAAGCCGCCCACCGACGTCTTCACAGAGGGGCTAAGAGCTTCTGTGGTGGTGGTAAGACGCATTGCTGGAGAGCTACAAGCCCTAGTGCTACCTACGGACAAAACGCACGCTGCTGTCGCAGAAGGCAAGTCCACATTTGTTGCAGTCTTGAAAAATGATACGACTGGGGTCTGGGAAGCGCTTCGCAGAGATTTCATAGCAGCTTGATACTTCTCACTCTCGACATGACTAGTAATCACCTTTTTCTCCATGCTGCTCAGGGAGAACTTCTTGCAGCACATTGTGCAGTGAGCACTACAGTGTAGACTGCATATAACTTATGTCGCGGGAGTCGCAAAAATCCGCACTATAAACGATACCGCATTATAACCAAAACATAAATTTTTCAGGCCAAAATACATGCCATGAGACAACTTACCTTTGTAAAAGAATTTATTTTATGTTAGATGAAAAATAAAGCTTAGTTTGAGGAAAGTCTTTATTTCACCAGACTAGTACACTTCTCTCTCAAGTGTGTGACACATTTTGAATGAAATGAGCGACTTTTGCTTGGCGCAGCCTTTTAACGGCGTCGCGGGTTGCGGACGGACGTTGCGAGCGTTCAGGATTGCTAACCCTAATCACTTTTCTCCTGCGATGAAAACGCGTGAAAATTCACATCCTTTATACGTAGGGTTCTGCGTTTTCGGTTTCTATTTTTTCGAAATTCGGCGTACTTTTTTCGGTGTTTATTTTAAAATTCAATTTTCGGTTTTTTTCGGCGTATATTTATGACCACAAAAGTTTATCGGCTTTTTTCGGTGAATATAAAATAAAAACCAACGGACACCGGATCGGATGATCCTTGTAGCTCTGATATTTGTGTTCACTCAAAGAATAACGCCACAGGTACATTGAAAAAGAAATGGACACCTTATTTGGCAAATGTGTGCAGCTCTAATAGAAACAAGGAAAAACCTGAGAAGCAAAAGCAGGTCAGATATGAAGCCTATGCCCGAAAAACATAGAATTCACCTTCTGTACATCAGGATTATGTTATCTTATAATAGTACACCCAGATGTACGTTCCCAGGTTCTCCACATTGATCCGCACTCCTTCTTTCCTGTTAATATGACCCTGAGCTTCGGGAATGCCCTCTCAACGCTAACACTGGCAGGCTGAGGAGATGAAGCGCTGCCTGAGCCAAAATCGGCCAATCAACCAATTGTGACCGCCGAAAGAGAGACGGTGCGACTTTGTGAAGCTCAACACAGCATGCAGAGCTTGCATCAAGTCAGTCTTCCTTACAACGAGTTCGAGAAATCGCTCGTACATGGCGAAGTTATGGGGCATTTCGGACTTCACGTTCCGATCGATGATGCGCACATTATTCCAAAACGTCGAGATGGCATCCGTGTATCCCATACATTCGGACACGTTTCGATAGACACTGTCGTTCCACGTTTTCGCCACGGCTCTGCGGTACGACTGGAAGGTCAAAGTGACCTTTTCCAGTTAAAACTGAATTTTAGAAAATTGATTCGACCTACTTTTTTCGGTTTTAATAAAAAAATGCCGAACCTAAAAACTGACCTTTTTCGGTAAAAACCGAATTTCCGAAAAAAAATTCGGCGTACTTTTATCGGTTTTTATCGGTTTAAACCGAAAACTCCGAACCCTATTTATACGGTACGCGCCAGTAATACCTTCAACTTTAGCACCGGCACGAAATGCTCCAAATTAGAAATCCGGGCGATGTTCGAGGACACAAATGCTTAGAAATCACCACTGTAGTCGAAGTAAACAAACACAATGACACGAGCATTTCTGCCGTCTTGAGAGTGCCGCCACGACATCGCCACACGAGTAGGTGGATCTTTCCTTCTAGTATGTGCTAGGTTATCATAGCGACACACAACGAAAATTCACTGTCAAGGATAGCGCTTTTACGCGGAACGATGAGCTTTCACCACGCTGTATACGTCGACAATCACAACCGACGCCATGTTTGTGGATAGAAGAAGCCGGCCCGCGACCGGCATGCAACGCGCGCGAACACTTCTCCTCGACCTGCGATTGGTCTGTCGCTGTGGTTGTCTCCAACGCAGCGGAGGGACGCACGCATGTGAACGACACGTGCGTGCGTCCCTTTATCGTTATGGCAACTGAAGCCTCTTTCTTCGCTTCTCCCCGCTTCTTCGAGCAATTTCCTTGCCCCGTGAGTGCTGCTTGTTGCCAGCGCCGTTATCTAGTGTCGCACAGGAAAGCGTGCTCGCTGCGCTGGTTGGTCGGCGCGGTCGGCAGGCTGTTCCAGAAACCGCACTATAACCGGTATTTCCCTTTGCGCACCTGCATTTTAAGCGGTATGTAATTACATGGAGTTCTATGGGAGGCGAACCTGTGGTTTAAAAAAGCCGCGTTATACCCGGTCCGGCACTATAAGCGGTTACGTTGTAAGTGGTCTATAGTGTATTTGGATCATTTGGAACGGGTTGAATCCAACTCGCATTCGTGGATATGTCCGGGTTTGTCCAGTCCATGTTGAAGGAGCACTTCTTTGACAGCGACATAGTCACTTTCACATATCTCCACTCCAGGAAAATAACATAATAGAAAGCCCTACCCAAAGCCACAAACGCACGTGGCAGAGCTCGTAGAGTGCAGGCGTCCACTGCGTTTATGGGGCAGCGTGAAAACACCATATCTGACAAACGAATGGATCGCTAGACGCGCACCTCTCAGAGGGTCGATGAACGACGGCTGTTCTTTTCTGAGCGAGAGGCGACTCGCGCCACACGTGCGAAGTTCGATCTGAGCGCGGTCAACACCGGTGAGACGAGTGACACCAATGAAAGCTGCACCCATGAAGACGAGGCTTGTGAGAGCCTTCTCGCGGAGGTCTTGGAGCGGCAGGGCGCTGAAGAAAGTGTACGTTTCGACGTCTTCCCGAGATGTAGACAACGACGCAGCGACGTCGCAGGACTGGTCCGACGATGACATTGGCGCCTCTGTTGCTCCCCAAGTGCCCTCCTGCAGCCCAAGTGACGAAGACGACAACAACATTGGGGTAGCAGACGCGCCGTGTCCGACAGTCGAGGAAATAGCGCGGGCATTAGATGTCATACGCCTGTTTGCCCTGAAGAAGGGCCTGATGAAGGAGCTGGCTCTTGACTTCAACCAGATTGAAGCCGCACTTTGCGCTGCGAGGCCAGCACGGCGCCAAACAGCAATTACTGAATTCTGTCGTCCGGAGTGAAATAAAATAGCTGTGTTTGGGTTTCTTTTATGAAATGTCTCTGGTTTCATTTTCTGACAGGTAAGTGGTGTGTATTTGTCATTTTCTCTTAAGCCGTACTACCGCTTGCACGTACTTTATCCGCGTCCCCGTCGAACTACGTCTTAACGAGGTTTTACTGTAATTCGAAATACTCGGGTGTGATATAACCGGGCTCGACTGTAGACAAAGTTTTCAGGAACGAACTGGATAACTGCTGCCTACATTTTTAGTGTCATATTGACGACTCACATTAGAGACAAGTTTGGAGGTGTCCATATTAACGAGACATGACTGTATAATTTTACACCAATTCAGGATATCCAGCTAAATTGAGCGAGGAAATTACGCGTAGCACCTTTGCGTTACACTTCTTTTACGAGATATTCTTATGAAACACTAACCCTAAACAATCTGAAAGAAAACAACAACTCAACAATGACCCAAGAAGCTCACCCGGCGCATGTGAGGTTCCAGCGTGGGTTCCACGAAACCCAGGGACTGTGACCCAACGACCAGGATGACGCAGACGACAATCACCTGAGGAACTCGGAGGAGTGTCAGGTACGACTCCTTCCTAATTTCCGTTGCCTGAACTGAAAAAAAACAACAAAAAAACAATAAACCTAGAATGTGCTGTGCGTCGCTTCATAGTTATGTTGCACAGATCAATGTGACACGCAGTTCAAGCCTCGATAATGCGAACGTCGTTGTGCGTAGTGTCTCTGAAAAAAAGCCCTGCCAAAGCTAGCCCTCCAGCAGGAGTGGAACGCCAAATTTGCATCTCTTGCGATCGCACACCCCAGCTTTGCCTCCGCCATTCCGCGCTTCTCTATTCCCTCCGAAGCACGTGCTTGTTCTCCCACCACACGTGCAAAGGCACTTGCTCAACAACTGCTACGTAACAAGGTTGCTCTGAAAGGGAAGTCGGGGCTCAAACAAGCTGGTGAAGATTAGACGTAACACTACCCAGAGACTGCAGGCAAGCGAAGTATGATACACGTACACAGGCTTTGGTTTTCTGCAGTCTTGAGGTTGTGCTACATGTAAGGTTGTGTTATGTCCAAGTACGTGTCACATCTAAGGTTGTGTTAAGTCTACGGTTGCGTTACATCTAAGGTTGTTACATCTAAAGTTGCGTTACGTCTAAGGTTGTGTTATGCCTAAGGTTTTGTTACGTTTAAGGTTGTTCTGCTGGATTTCCTATGTCACGTACCTGAGGCCAGTGTGAGGCACAGATCAGATACGAGCGCTGCATCAGTGTTTGGATGAGGCTAGTGTTCGATCGGTGAAAACATAAGTTACAGCAGAAAGCTGATGGAGCACTCGTGCGATGCTTTTCCATTACAGGAGAGCACTGCCAATAAACTGAACAGAAGTCAGTCATACAACACATTCCATATTGTGCGGCTGGTTCAATCGTAACAGTCACCATCAGATGCACAGCTGTCATGAGACTCAAAACAATTGTACAGATATGGCACAAACGATCTCCGGACCTAAAGTGACCACAACGAGGTGCCGGTCGAAGCAGACGAGATTTCGTATAGGGCGGATCAAGCACTGCTGCATTTTAGAAGTTGACCTTCTGGAACCGACCAGCTTCATTCGCGAAGGAAGTGATGCCGTCTACTGCTTCACATTGGGAGCCAAAGAGAAAGGTAGCGGCATGTGGGAACAACGACCCACCTTGAATGCCTCTCATCAGGTACCAGCTTATGGGCAGCGTCAACAGGACACAGCAACCGAGGATGAAGAAGGGAAGGCCAAAGCCGCCCACCTGGAAAGCGGCGCCGAACGGCATTCTTTGTGACAGGCAGACAACAAGGCAGATTTCTAGGCAAACTTAAATTCATATAACACAAAAACAACAACAAAAACAAAAAAAACTTGGTTTTTGGTTAGGGTTTTTTCCTTGGTCGGTGGCAGTGGTTTTGCCGCCCACCAGTCTAGCTGAACACTCACCTCTACATTTTGCCTCCGATTGTGTTTGGCATTCTCGCACGGCACTATGCAAAGGAACTAATCTCTGCAAACAAAATCACTGCTGTGTGGGCGAGAAAGCACTGAGAGCACCAAAAATTGCAGCAACCACCTTCTTTCACCGCACATCGAAATTGTCACATGTCCACATTTTAAAAATTTCCAGAAAGATAGAAAAGTTTCCAGTAAAATTATGCAGAGTTCAGACTGACGGAGTGCTTAAGGTATATGTATGTCACATTGTCTCCCGACCATGTGATCTACGTTGTGACAAACCACATAACTGATGCACATTAGGTGATGGTGGTCACGCGAGGTCATCAGCCCTGTGACAACGCTTACGTGTTGACATTACAGTGACATCCACAATGTGACAATGTGACGTCCCGTGACCCTGCATCACGTTACGTGACCATGTGAAAGGCAGTGTTTAACATGTCTTTGTAACAACTTTTTGTGGTGGTCTAAGGCAGGGTTCTGCAACGTTTTGGCTAAGAGGTCGGATTGGGTATCTGCCAAAGGTTTGCAGGCCAGAAAATAGACAAGAAGATATAAATGAGAAAATATTAAATAAGTAAGCCTCAATATGCATTTAAATAAAAAAAAAATAAAAGCCGTTTACAACTCCCTGTAACGCCGAATTAGAGCACAGCTTTTGAGTAGCAGGAGGGAAGGGTACTGGGGGGAGGGTATGTATACCCCTCCTCCCTCCTCCTCACCTCCTCATCCTGCCTGCTTCTCCTCCCTCCGAGTAGCGTCGCCGTCGCCTTACAAGGGTCACACGACCTCACGAGGGTCACACGACCTTACGGGGGTCACGTGATCCCTGTGAGGTCATGTGACGATGACGTCATGACGTCATCGTCATCGTCACTGATGACGTCATCATAATCAATGCATCATCAGTGACGTTACGCGTCCCATAATGCATCGTGCAATTACGCCGACGACGACGACGCTCAAGCCGGAAACGGGTGCCTAAGAGCTACGCTCTAAAATGTAAATTGGAGCAACAGTTTAAAAAATGCATTGTGGACATACTTTACTCTATTTGCAGCTCAGGAAACTCACTAGGCATAAACCAAAGTGAATAGGAACTCTGACATATACAGAAAGGGCAGAAGACTAATAAACATGGTAGATATGTAACAGTATGCAATAGTTACGACACAGGACTCTAAGCAGGATTGGGAACACAAAACAATTTTAACATAGTTACACAGACATGAAACAAAGGACTATGAATAGTAATGCTGGTGATGACAGTGTACAATGAATAACATGGCGAGGGAACTTGCATTTAACGCAGTCTTCCCTTATTCTTTTTGATATCTTTGTTCACAAATTTGGTTCACAATGCTGTGCCTTTTTTTTTTTTTTTTTTTTTATTGCGTTTAGTTTGCATTGCAGGCCGGGCATCACTGGAAAGACATCTGGTCTTTCCAGTGACTTTCTAGTTCTTCTCAGAACAGCTCCGCAAGCCAGATTTGGTTCGCAGGCCGGGGTTTGGAGGCCCCTAGGGTTAGAAAACAGCCCATAAAAACAATCTTCTTTAAAAACAACAACACTGACACTGCACCGATCTTAGAATGCTAAACAGACGGGTTTGTCGCTCAAACGGTCGCACTGCAGCCACTCGAGAGCACTGCTTGGAGAGCATTAGTTTGAAGCGATAGCTTTACGGGTGACGCTTTGCAGGGATTTCGGTGCCGGCGTATGTTGCCGTCTGTCGTCGCAGTGGAGGGGGAAAAACCCTTTTTCTATCGCCTCATGATGCGAGAAGAGAGACATTGGGTGTTCCCATTAGCTGCGCAAAGAGGGAAGGTTATGCATCTCCCTCTTCTCTCATCACTAAAAGTCAACATTACGCCCTCCCTTCACCGCTCAATAATGCCGGGGAAACCTGCGCCTTCACTCGCGTCGTCACTGCCGCAGACTCTTCCTAATGGTGCAGCCTTGCCAAGGCTGTACTCCGTCCCAGGAGCGAACGCGGAGGGAACGACTGGTTTCCAAGGCTCCTGGGGTGATACCTTTGACAAGGCCAAACCGCAACGGACGTTTAACCGATTTCATGCTTCATCGATTCCGTGCTCTGTGCCGCGACAATGTCCCGCTCGTGGTAACCGGCGACTTCAACGTCGACTTTGGCGGCCACAAGAATGAGTGGTTTCGCAGCCCCATCGCGGCGGAATCAGGCCTGTGCAAGGTGTCCAATGGCAACACACTAGCCGCGTTCAATTTACCCACCCCTCCTGCACCGGTGCAGAAAAGTGCAGGGCGGTGTATTTCCGCTCGTATCTTAATGCGTATGCCGGAAGTACACAGTCCTACACTTTTCTGTGCCGGTGCAGGAAATGCAGGTAAATCGACCGCAGCTACAGATAATGTGCACCGGCATCACTTAAAAACCTTGAGGTTACCAAGGACACTGACGCATTCATCCAGTGTCTCGCCCAGCCCACTTTCTTTATCGATCACTGAGTGGTCGTAGCAGTCGTTGGTGGCATCTATGACGCCAGCCATGACGGCGATGCACTTTAATCGGCTCGCAGCTCCGTCCTCAGGAATGTGACAACCCCATTTTGTCCACATTGCGCAAACATGCTACAGCCGTCGCTTTTACTTTTTCGCACATTGTGGGTGAAAAAGAGTGCCTTTTTTTATTTGCACAATGTTTGTTTGTGTTCTAAGGCTTCACCAGTCTCCTCCTTTTTGTTATGTGAAAATGTGTAAGCGTTGTGGTTGATAAACACGAGTGCCGCTCTGCTCGAGCAATCCCTTTAAACCGGGGGGGACAAAGAATGCCGACTGCAGTCATGCAAGCTTTTAGATGGTGACCACTGGCAACGCTGGTCCTACATAATGGTACGGCACCAGTAATGTTATCTTGGGCATAGCCTTATTTTCTTGCCCTAACCCAGATAACAAGGCTCCATCAGGCAACCCAAAATGAGAAACAGACAAACAAAGAAATGAATAGGAAAATAAGGAGTAATGCTTACGCTGTAGAGGGCACCACCAATGGCAGGACCCAGGCTCATCCCTACACCCACACACGTCTCGATAATTCCCTGGAAACGTCGAAACAGAAAAAAGATGTGAATGGATAGGATGGCGTCTGGTCAGCTTCATGCGAGCTATCTCTCCCAAAAAAATGTAAAATTTTTTCTTTTATTTAGTGACCGGAATAGCAAAGTTATGCAAGACTTCCCCTCTAAAAAAGGCTCCAGACGGGTGGCATAATAAAACAAAGAACAATTTCGGTATGCCACATTCAGTCGTTACTTTTCGACGTAAAATTCTGGAGAGTTAGATTTCAAATGGTTGCGATACACAACTGTGCCCCTGACCTTCCCAAAGTTCGTAGTAAGATTTTGATCCCAGCCAGATGTCTACGAGGACATGCGAGATAGTGACTGGCCATGGCTTCTCATTTTAGTCATATAACTGTGTACTAATGACGACACCTGTATGTGTTGCGAAACGTCTAAACTTTTGTTGGTGCATTTGTTATGTTAAGCATAAGTAAAAAATTTTAATCCTGAATTCTTCCGGCTTGTGAAACATTTTTTAACATTAAAAATAAAGCTTTTTGGAAGTGCAGTGTCCCTTTGAAGAAGAACCGTAACAAAATTCTAGCCCCCATTTTATTGCCTAAATGTCAACCATGTTCTGGCCACAACACATAGACACTTTTTGTTTGGAAAGACGCCAAAACATTATTTGAAACAAATAAACCGATTACCAGACAGCACCTGGCAGATGTTCCCAAAGCTACTTAGATGCCATCACGTCCCCCATCCCACAAAAGCAGCACTGCTCTGAGGAAGCACGGCGCTAAGCTCCGAGTGCGCAAAGGCTTTCGAATTTGGTTAAACCGGATTTCCCTTCTCTCGCACACCATTCAACGCCCATGGGGAGGGGGGAGAGGAGTATTTGAAGCAGGAGAGAGTCACTTTTTAGCCTCCACTGGCATGGCCGAAACAGTCGTCGGCCATCTCGATCAGCCAGGTTGTAGCATGTCGACGCCACCAAGTGTCGAAGCTCACAACCACGCCAGCCTCCCCGTAGCCTTGCCCACGAAGGTAAACAGGATGTCACGAGCGTTACGGAGGTGGCAGATCTACCGAGAGGCATCGTGCTCTTTGACGGCTGATCTTCGAGCATTGTCAAAGAGCAGCTCTTCGAGCGCCATCCATTCAAAATACAAATGTGTGATTGTCATTAGCAGATTTTGTTGATTATATATGCCTAACCCTTTTGCTGTAGAGTTTTTTCTTCTTATAAACGTACCAAAATGGTCTCTTTTTTTCTAGAAGGATAGCAATAACAATGAGTCGATGCACAGCGTTTTTTAATTAATGGGAGCATATAGTGCTGGCAGCTGTTCAGATTGAGAAAGCATCAAATGAAAATATTGAGGGAAAAAAGTTGCAGCTTTTTTCCCATTCGGGATTATCTTCACTCGTCCGCTTCCAATCAACCACCTGGCAGTCTCTCATATTGTGGACCGGAGGCACTTTACATCACTTTTGCATTGGGTGATGGGTTCTCGTTTTCTGAATTTCATTCCGAGAAACGTTGAAAGTCTGAATCGACTCCGATTGCCACTACTGCAGGAGCAATTGACTTCCGAAGCAGTCACCACCCGCGTATCACTTGAGCAGAGTGTCGATTTTCGAAACTATAAATAGCCTCAGCAAAGCGAAACACGGCGAGAATAAAAGATATATAGTTCCCCAAAGACATAACAGGGAGCAAGAGCTCCCTGGGTGCACGCAGTTTCGCGTTCAGGCGGGAATTTTTCCAATGCATAATTGTGTAGAGTGGCGACCATGCAGGACGCTTCTGAGCTGCTGTGCATGCACGGTGGAGACCGCCAGAGGGGGCACTGGAACTGTTTTAACAGCGAAAGAGTTTGCAGCATGTATTTTTTATATTGTTTATCTAGGCAGAAGTGAGAGAAAATGCACCACTTTCCCCCTAAAAACTGCTCTCCCGCTGCGTAATCACAAAGGAAGGAACTAATTATTTGCCAATGAGCATCTGCATGTGACGGTTACAGGAACAACAGCGTCACATCCAATCGAGAATGCGCGGAACTAAAAAAAAAAGAGTGCCCCTCGCTGCTATCACTCGCCGTCAGCCCCGTGGCGAATCGACTCTTGTCACGATCTTTCGCTGCGACCTTCGCTGATGCTAATCCTTGTAAAGTCGACAATCGACTGGGATGTACCCCAGTGACGCCACTTGAAAGAAGGTGTGAGTTGAGGGGTGCTCCAACCTTTGATTTGTTTTGTTTTGTACAGTAAATACTGGTGCGTGCAAGAAAACATGTTTTCCAGTTCTTCAATCTACAGGTGACACAGATTAAAGGCCCGTTCACACTCTTGCGACCGAGTACGACCGAATACGACTGAGAGAGACGAGGATCTCTTACAACTTCTTAAATGTTTTTAGAATGAGGGAACACACTGGTATTGTGGCGCCATCTATGCGGTGACCCTGGAACTGCATTTCACAAGAGCGAAGGTTTTGCGGGATTTCCGAGGTCAAATGTGCGTAATAACCATAGAAAGGCTCGTTTATAACATTGACAAAAGTTTTTCGAGCCAAGAAAGAAAGGATAATGCGCGAGAAATAAAAAAAAAAGATGCCGGACCGCCCAGTTTACACTGCTTCCCAATAGATGGCGCCAGTGTGTTCTCTGGTTTAAGAAGTTTTAAGGAACCCAGGTTTAAGAGGTCGCAAGCAGTCGCAAGAGCGTGAACGGGCCTTAATCCCTGCAGGTTAAATGGTCAACGTCCGAAAATCGTTGCAGCGCCCCTCAAACTTGTTTCTGAATGTGAGAGGTATAGGTAATTCAAATTTCATCTCGGTGTACCTTTAACGTCTCATTTGATCCAGCACACACCCCCAAGTAGTCCCAGTCAAAGCACTAACTGAAACTACATACCATAAAATCCCGAGCAAATGCCCACTCAAAATTTGGAGATAAATGTGCAAGACCGGGGGATGGGTGCTCCTTAGGCCAACAATATGTAAAGATATGCCCTCCGTGTATCTTTCGAATGTGAGGAAATTGAGAAGAGGGTGCTCGTTGTAGAATGGGCGGATGCCCGGTAATTTACGGTAGTTCATTCCAAATACCAGCTTCAAAGCAGTTGATTGAAAAGACCTGAATCCAACAAGTATGTCTTCCTTTACAGCTATACTCCCTTTAGCCTTACAATGGCTTGCCCCTTACGAGCTGTCCCGACCAATCCAGCGCTGCAGACGTATCGCGCAATGTCGCTGTGCACCTCACGAGGGTCACGTGACACTTACACCGCATGGGATTCGCTTCAAACGCTCGTAGCGTCTGCTGCGGTCCATCGTAAGGATAAACGGCAACGTATAGACACGTCGGCGAACGTTTACATTTGCACGAAAGAGGGCCATGCTCACAAACACGGTGCTGATGTGTTGCGGGTAGAGGTTGAGCACGATGGCGTAAGATGCGGTGCTGAAGGCGGACGCCCCAAGAGCCTCGAATATCCGCACGAGGAAGGAGAGGAGGGTGAAGGTGAGGGTGCTCTCCGCCATGTCGAGCAGCCTGCGGACGAAAGACGGGAGCAGATATCACGCGCTGTCACGCACAGTTCCAAGTCGGCTTTTACGGCATGTGACTTTGGTACGAAGCTCACACTACTGACTATATTTTGTGTCATTCTAAGTCAGAGCGTAGTCAACGGCCCCTTCCGAGGAACAACTATTGACCCCGTATCAAATTTCCGCAGTTAAAGTACATACTTGGTAGAAACATGACCCTTGGAAACGTCACAGATGTCCTCTTTTGGGAAACGCTAAAGCTGACCCCTTCACTTTTATTTTGGGCCTTCTTGTGTTTTCTATTTTTTGCTGCCTCTTTCTGTCCCCCTTACAGGTCAATGTTAGCATTTCCCAAAGGGGGATATGTGTGGCGTTTGCCAAGGGTTATACTACTGGGTTCCCCAAGAATCCACAAATGAATCTTCCTGTAATTTTTTTTTCGCCCCCTTTTTTGTACTCTGCTTGTGACAATACATCGACACCCTTGGATAGAGTCATCCATATCACTCGTGGAAAAAACCGCATCCATACCACTCGTGGAAGGAACCGCATCCATGGAGTAAAAACAGATTGTTTTAACTATACACACACATCGCAGCCCACGCACTACTACTACAAAAACCAAGAGCGAAGAATAACCCGCAACAGCAGAGTGCCAACTGAACATGCCTCCAAGATAACAAAGCCGTAGTGCTGAATGAGATGGCGTCTTCAGACAAGGCCAACACTGGGCACTAATTGGACACAACAATTGTGTCAATGTTTGGCTACTGATGCAGCACTGATGCAGCACTGATGCAGCACTGATGCAGCACTCGTTCCCAATCTGTGTCCAGCGTTGGCCTTCTCTGATTAAGCCATCACATTCAGCACTATGGCTTTGTTATCTAGGAGGTGTTGCGCGGCGCCTCCTCTTCTCTGGCTCTGCACCAGCTGTGCGTGTGACTTTGCCGAAAACGAAAGGGCTCGTTTCGGCGAAAACTTGCCCGTGTCTGTCAGTTGTCAGTGCCAGGGAGAGAGGAAGAGGTTGACGCATGCTCACCTCAGCGCATTGGACCAAAGGAAGCGTGGCACGCGACAACTGACAAATGAAAGGCACCGCCGGGTTTTCATCAAAACGAGGGTTCTAATGCTAACGCATAAAAAAATGTGCATGATAAGTCGCGCCGTTGTACAAGATGCGTCAATGGAAATTTTGTAATAAAACTGCAAATTATGTGACGAAAATTATGGTACACAAGACGTGCAGACTAAAAGTGCAAAGTCATGGTCACTGCACTTTAGTGGTTCAGCCAGAGACAGCACACACAGAAAAATAATTGTCGTGACAGCGCGCATCTTTGCTCCGCTCAATTGGTCCTGTCGGTTCGTAACACGGGCTGTGCTCCGACTTAAAAAAGTATGTAGAGGTTCTTGAAAAATAAATGAATTAGAGGTGAATTCTGGCATATTTTTATCTCATGAAGCTATATATCACGTTTGTTTTCCCCAAAGATGTAACTAAGCGCAAGGAAACACGAAAAACATCCGACCAATAATTACCTCACACCCAGATCTTTCTGCCACTAACCGCGAGTCGCTTGTGTGGGCAGCACGTGCAATTGCAAGCTTGCCAGGTATATTCCCCCACACTGACACCAGTCGCGACATCTTTTTTTAAGCTTTTCGAAAAAAGCGGGAGTGTGTGTCCATAGCCTTGATGGGCGCTGGAGATGCGTGAAAGCAGAGATTCAGGAAACTCCTAATGTGACGTTACGCTCCAGGAAGGAGGGTCTTCGGCGGTATTTTAAAAATGATTTTCTGCGGCCTCTGTGCACCAAACTGAAAAATAATCTCGATATTCGTGATCCCGGAGGCCAAATGAAGACGATTTAAGTTTTTTCCTCAAATACATGAATCACTTCAGTTTCCCTTTAAGGAGAAACAATGTATGTAGAGCTACTAAATGTTCCCAGAGTATTACTGCATTGTTCACTACCCGAAAGAGCCAAATCAACCGAGTTTTTTTTTCTGGTTCATGACTGCCATGTTAGTGCCGGGAGAAAGAAAAAGGCAAGAAACAATCTATATAAGATGCCGACGAATGGGGACTGAGAATCCCCTATGAATCGCAACCAGCTTGATTGCTATAAGGGCACTGCGTTTTTATTAGGGATCTGCACATCACAAACTCCGGGCCCTTTGCCCAATCACATGCAGGTCCTCTGCGATAAGTGCACTGCGTTTTTATTAGGGATTTGCACATCACAAACGCCGGGCCCTTTGCCCGATCACAAGCAGGTCCTCCAGGTTTTCCCGCTCCAGTTTGGTTAGACAGGATTGCCGTCGACTTTCGTGCTGCCACGCGGTTTTGAGAAAGAGACTGGGAGATTCGGCACTTTGGAAGCCCTAAGGGGCTCTACCTACTACCCACTTTTCAGAAATGTCTCTCCAAACCTCATGCCCTTTGAGCATACAGCAATGACAACTGCGGTCAAGTCCATTTTGGTTTTTGTTTGTGCAAGACATCCAAAGTCAAAAAGTAATTTTCCCGAAATTCCGGAAATTTAGCAAAAAAAAAAAAAACAACCGACGGTTTTTGAGCTGCCCAAGCTAAACACATTTTTAGAATACCCAGGCTTTACTCTATCCAGGGTGCAAATTATTTGTAAATTCGAAATAGCTATAGAGAAAACGGCACATGAAGGTGATGCCAAAACAAACATTCAAATGTTACCCCGCTTCCCAGTGGCGAGACGTCACATGTTGTATAGTAACTTGCAAGTCAAGCAGGCAGTCTAAAAAACACTGTGTTTTGCGCATGTACCTTTGTTTTGTTGACGGGAGTTTAAATAGCATTCGTATCACATCAAACTTTTCGTAACCCATTGGGAAAACGCTGTACTGTCTCCATTATAGTACATTCGACGTTCCGTTTTCAGTGTTGCCAGTGGCGCCTCTCGGCCTCTCAAACCAAATTTTAAAACTTCAATAACTTTGTGAAAAGAAATATTCTTGTGACTGGTAGTTTGGATTGTTAGTTCAGATGTGTCCATTAAACCGTTCAACCAATTTTGAGGCAAATACGTGACCATCAAAATTTCGCAGGAGTATAAGGTAACTAACTACTGGCTCGTTCGAAAGTGTTTCTATATTTCCTACATCTTTTTTGTTAACAAAGTGTTAGTTCCACGAATAAACTTAATTGAAATGTGGACCCCTTGGGTCCTCCTAACTCTTGAACTAGCCATGCTTGAAAGTAAATGTGACATCACATTCCAGTGTACTATTTAGTCTTGCTACCTTCTTGCTAAAAACTGATACAATAGATGTACAAAGGCAAACAATGATCAGCTCTCAAAAAGAGAAGAAGCAACGGGAATCAGTTACCCTGAAACCATCCAACAATTCTGTCATAACTCATTAGTCATGAAATGGAAACTAGAAAAATTATAAAGATTCATTTTTACAAATACTGAAGCCCCTCAAATCATGTAACTTGTCGTGTATATTATGTGATTAAATGAGATTTCATATAAAGAGTAATCTGCACGTTAATTAGCATGCCACGGTCCCATTAATTACTCTTGGATTTCAAAAACGCTTGCCTTGAGATGTCTAATGAGTTGCTGCCAATGAGAAAAAGGCAACGTAATTCGAGTCACAAAGCTATTGGGAAAACATTGCTTAATTAAGCTCATATGATTATTGTTATCTTACATCCACATAAAAGACTCAAACCTTCAAGATCGACGTGGTTGCATATGCCGACGTTCAGAGTCAGTAAATTATAAATTATAAATTTGGAAGGTAATCTCGTATGACAGCTGTCACTGGAGAAAGTGGCATGTTTATTATGCTATTACAGCTGTCAAAACTCGTTAAATTGACAATTGGGTAAGAATCAAACAGGCATTCCCAATTAACTCACCCAAAGAGAATGTTGGATGCGCCTGCAAAGAAAATGCCATTGAAAAAGATGAACCTTGTTCCGAGGATGGGAACCTGAAAAATGCAATGGTGTCCATGAACATGTGAATAGTACCAAGAGTTCGGAAAAAACAAGAAACATGCTTCTCTCCCGACAAAAGATACACTCCACATTGCCAAATGCTCAGTCTAGGCTCAAATGTAGTGCTACCAGTTCAGACCAGAAGCCAAAATTTCAGGGCTAACAGTTATCCGATTGATCTATAAGCGAGTTTCGAGAATTTTCAGCGATGAAATTATTGCCAACAAAACCCGTGAATACATAGGCACAAATGGAGTATGCTGCCAGGAACAAGCCCCATTTGCTTGTTTAAAATATCCGAAGATTGTTTATGAATTTTTAATCGGAGAACATCAAGTCTTCAAACTATGCCATCTGGACCCAAATGCTAGCACTACATTTGTGCAAAAACTCCACATTTGGTGAAGCATAGTAGTTTATTTTTGCAGTGAGCTTTTTTCTTATTACAGTAAAACCTCGTTATAACAAAACGGGATATAACAAACTAATGGATATAACAAAGCAATCATAATTCCCCTTGCTTGCTAATAGTGGGAAGAAATGGACATTGGCTATAACAAACTAATGGTTATAACGAAATAATTACGACCGCTCCTTCAACTTTGTTATAACGAGGTTTTACTGTACGTCAAGCCGCTTTTGTTTTTGTTATTTTTGCCATGTCTTCAGTAAGCTTCTGAAGTATTTTTGCATACTGTCAGCCATCCCTGAAGTCAGCGAGTTTTAGTGAGCTTTCATGCTTTTCTCGTATTAAGAAATATGGCGTGCAAGTCCCCTGCTCTTTCTGAGCAGATGACTCAGGGTAGAAACCAAAAAAGCAAGAAAACACTTGTGAATCTGGATGAATGGGCTCGATTTCCGGCTTGGCTTACTTTGGCTTTAATGTGATTCCTCTTCACAAGTCAATTGCACCCAGCGTTTCCCTGAGCACACATGTGTGTCAGCTCAAGATTGTGAATTCCTTGTTCGAAAAAACGAAGGACAGCCTTTTTTTGTGGAAATTAACTTAATGAATGAATGAACCAGTTCAACAAACAAACTGATTAGCCCTCTAAATGAACTCCCAACACTGTGCAGTTCCTATCTGAAAACCCTGCATGGGTGCTGCTATTCTGAGCGTTTCCTTGACTTGTCCCTTTAACTCGCAGAGGCACAAGGTAACCAAGTGACGCCACATCGACATCTCTAATGCACAAAATCCAGACGCAAGCCATATTTGAAGCCACAGGAATGGTGAAAAGTGGAGCGCAGAAAATCTATGATTTGGTGGCATCTAAACATTCTATTAGAACCCCAGCCCACCTGTCTCCCAGTAACCGCGAGACTATTAGTACAGAGTTCAATCTCCACTGCTGCCCTTCTCAATTTGAAGGAGCGTCGTAGCGGCGCATGCAATTGCATTATCGCTACCGCATGACGCATGTAAAAGATCCCAGGTTAGCAAACATATCGCATCGGCTAAATTACTTCTCCACATCATGAGCCAGCCCCGCCATAGTACCTCAAAGGCAGACCGACGTCTCGTTGTCTGAACGTTGCACGTCCCATTTACTTTCTTGATTTTGCTCCCAGCAAACAGACACTCAAACAGCCCCCACCAAACGGCCTAAAAGTGTCTTCGACAAGGCACGAAGAGATGATAAGCCCCCCACCGACACATCAGTCAGCCCGTTTGCTTAGACACTCAAGGAGTAACACCAATCTCTGATCTTCGTTTGCGGCTTCTTGAGTTCGTGGCACCGGGGTGCAAGAACACGGGTGCCTTGTCCACTTCAGGTCAAGTATAAAGTTACTGTGACAGCTCGATTACTGGTCAGCTGAAACATACTTGCGGTATAAACACTGCCCCTTCAAATCAGTCAGTACAGGCATACATATTTTTTTTTCGCTGGGGCATGCCAGGCACTCTGCGTTGGTCCGACCCGTAAACTCCCAAAATTTATTTTATCTCTGTTCCATCTCATCTATCGGAAATCGCTGGCCTCACAGCTTTAGTGTTTGTTAGGGGTGTGCGAGTATTCAAATTTTTGAATGCGAATTGAATATTTTTGATATTTGATTCATATTCGAATTGAGAAGAGCATATTAAAATATTTAAAAAATTTTGGTTATGGCTGAATATTTGGGCAACGTAAGAATATTGAAGCAAATAACGAATAACACCCGCGTGGGACATGCCCTGAACATTCAGAGCTTCCATAAAGATGTGTTTAGTCGCTTAAAATTGCGGGTATTGTAGCCAGTTTTTTTATAAACCCTTGCCGTTCACGTTATAAGTAGAACTAGGCATGTATTAGCTCACGACAAAAGAGCAGTTTTGATTTTGGTTTTGCCAAGCCTGCATTGTGAGTCACTTTTCTAGCAACCTTATATTGAGTGCTGCTGGAGCAGGAGTATTTTCTGTTGCACAAGCAGTTGTCACTGTGAAAAGGGAGCGCTTATGTACTGAACATGTGGAACAATTAATTTTCTTGCATGATAATTTGCAATAATTGTATCAGCAGCTGATATCGGACTTATTGGTTAGTCAAGGGCATTTTCAATTATTTTCTTTAGAAAAGGTGACAACCACTTTGTGTGACAACATTAGAGGCTGCATTTTTACATGCTATCTAGACAAGTGCAGTTTTGTACCATCTTAATTTTGTCAATTTGTATACCTTATCAGTTGCAATTTTTCCCTGCTTTCATGTACAGTTGACAGGTGATTACTAGTCAAGGTGTAATAGCTGCATTATTAGTTGCATTGTTTACATGCTGCCTAGTCAGGCAGTTTTGTTTACTATTAACATCATTTTTGGTTTTGAAGGTAACAGAGAAAGTATTAGCATATTTTCTTTTGTTATTTCTTAATGGTACACACATATTTAAAACATATTTGATATTCAAAGCTATTTTTCTCTAAAATTCATATTCAATTCATAAATTTCAATATTCACATACCCATTGTTTTTGTTGATGTGAACAGCTGAATTTTTTGACAAAACACAGAGTAAAAGGATTGGACAAGGGTGCCACTCCTTTACATTCATGTTCTGTAAAAATAAAATTTAGCTGTTCACATTAACAAAAATGAACGCTACTAGTAGCTCAACAAAAAAAAAGTTTTGTTTTCGTTTCATCCTTCAATCTTGTCGACAGATCTCTTATTGTGCAAAGCACAGTGATGCGATTGACCTGGGTCGTTTTGAAGCACCCTTTGGAGCAACCGAGTTACCTTCGTAGCAGCAAAAATTACTTTTGGAGCAAGAGCATATACACCTAATTTTTGTTAATCAGGGTCATTCCATGCCAAAGGAGACAGCAATTTTCGTCATATTTTGGATATGCTTGAAAAAAAGAATATGAATAAAGACACATCTGTAAGTTAGGAACAAAAAGAATATGAACTCCCTATTCACTATAAAGACATGTCATAATTTCAAGTTTCTCAGCGTTAGCTATACAAATATAATTAATGAAATTAAGTACCCCGTGCAGTGTTTCACTCGACCGTTGCAGACGATGACGTGCGTTGCCAATGAGGCGGACGCCTGAAGGCTCTTCTGCCTCCTATTTAAAAAAATAATTTCTCCAAAATAACGAAAAGTACTTTTCTATTTTTTTTTTATATGTTGAACAAATGGGGTCAGTTAAACTTTCGGCTACTTTGAAGATGCGAGCACCATTGCCCAGATGGCTTTTTTTTTTTACCCCTTATATGGCCATTTTTTAAGAAAGTGGCTTATTCATCCTTTTCTTAAAAACTATCTGAATTATTTTTTATAATTGTAATGCAACCAGTCAAGCATAAGTTTCAGAAAAATAAGTAAAAAAAGTTTCTCAGTCAAATTGTAATTTCAAGTTGATTAAAAAAAATCAAGGTCTTAATAATTTGCTTAGGTTTAGAGTGCCTGTCTGGACCCAAAATGGCTGCGTAAAGTGTTTTCCTTTCAAGGTAAGAAAAAATACATTAGTGCTCGATTGCATGCTAACTTAAAATTCTTTGGTAAAAATAGCTTTTTTCCAGCTATTTTTCGAAGTACAGAAGGTTTTCTCCGATTCCCCGCACTTTGGAGCATGACAACAGCAAAAATAAACGTAATTCAGCCCTCAAACTTAGCCATCCTTACTTTCAGAGGTACTATTTTTTCAAGCATATCCAAAATATGACGAAAATTGCCGTCTCCTTTGACATAGAATGAGCCATCTCACCGCGAATCTTGTGTTAAGATTCACGTGGCAGCCTGCCTAGCTAAAAGCAATGCCTTCTTTGGTTAGCATTCATTCCACAGGAGAGTTTAATTCAATCAAGCACTCACCTACTAGCTGTTTCGTGTGCTCAAAAACACCAGACACGGCAACAGGAATGCTATGACGAGAGTTGTCCTTTTTGTTTAACAAGCTCTGCACAGCAGGAGTCACTTTGGAAACATGTGCTAATGGCAATGGACAGAGCACAAATATCTGCGAGTGCTAATTTTTATTGACAGCACCCTCAAACGGGTTAAAGCCTGCATAGAGGTAGTAGGTAAATGCGGGATGTTATAAAAAAAATAAAAGCCACAGTGCCACCCAGGTACACCTGATCAAGGTTTAAAAATCCTTTTGTTATGCTTTCTTGAATCTCCAAGCTTTCTTGAATATTGAATTTAAAAAAAATACAAAGTCATGACTAATCAGGCACGTAACTCGTCGGGAAACTGCAGCCAATATAGACTGGTCGGAGTTTTAATGTAACAATTTAGCTGCAGGGCAAGTTGTCACATCAATATTCCCCGGGTGTTTTTTTTTTTTTTTTTTTTTCAGTACCGAATGCGTACGCATGTACCAGTCTCAAGGAGTGTACTTCCCTTTACCACGTGGCTATGCCGCAGCAAAGAGAGGTATGCAAAAGTGCAATGTCAACACCACGGCCATCGCTTGTCTGCAACCCAGTGGTGCGCGGTGAGAAGTACTCTCGATAAAGCTAACTGACCCGCCTGAACGGACCACGAACAATGAGAAGTATGGC